AACTTCCTTCTGAAATTATCATTTAAAGAACAAGTTATTAATTTCTCAATCATTCTCGTATCATTATCAAAATCGCATTTTTTGTGAAGTCTAGAAATCCTAAAATAAAAAGTATGGAAGGACTCCTCGGCACCTTGTACCGCTAAGTTAAAGTTCTTTATATTTACATTCATGTCCTCACTTGGAATTATTAGTTTCAATTTACCAAAAACAATATTAAAGCCTTTTAACTGTGCTTTAGAACATATCGACGTAACTTGGTCTACAATCTCAATTGGTAAGCTACATAGTAGTGTCCTAACTTTAGATGAGTCTGACCCAATATGTCCTTCAAAATAAGTTTCAATTAAGTTAATGTAAGTTTCCGACAATTTCCCTGATAACACGGAAAATTTAGGAACATATTGAGTCTGCGTAAGAGTTAATTTTTCGTCCATGATAAAATTTTATTTAAATAAGGTAAACTTTCAATATTTAAAATCGTAAAAGCAAAATATGCATGTAGTCCATTAAATTCAAATTTGAGTTGTATACAAAATTTTAATTTTAATCAAGAGAATGTGGTCCATTAAGTTTCAATATAGTTTGTCTATAAAAATTTTAATTCAAATTCGTAAAGAGGATTTAGTCCACTAAGTTTCAATATAATTTGTCTGTGAAAAATTTAATTCTAATTTATAAAGAGGATTTAGTCCACTAAGTTTTAATTTGAATTATCTATAAATATCTAGACTTGACTCGTCACAAAGAATTTCATACTACTTTAAGTTATGAAAGAAAATTAAAAAATTTTTATTAATATTCTATAGACTGTCTGTTAAGCATCGCGTAAATTTTTATTTAATAACGTAACATAGGGAAAATTTTCTATACCCTATAAATGTAGTATATCAAATATATAAAGCGTATAATGTTTGCAAAGATATTTAAGATTTAACATTTAATTTCTAATATTCCGTAATTGCACAAAATATAAAAATGAATTTATTTTCATCAAAAACGTAAGGCTTTCCATTAAGAGACATATAAGTATTAATCATCTCTAGGAGGGTTTTAAAGTAAAAGTGAATTTCATTCGTCCTGTTATTTCGGACATAAGAGAATCTACTGCATCCTCCCATTTCCCTCAACATCTTATCAATAATTATGCAGTGCGGTATGTTAAAAGCTTTGAAACAAAACATCCTAACGTAAAAATTGAAAGATTTTGATGAAAAACTATTTTTTTTATCATATTACTCTTGTTTTTATATATATATATATATATTTTATTTTATTATTTTTTTTTTTTTACCTTTTATAAATTTGTAAATTTGGATAAAATTTTGACTATCGAAAAGAAAAGTCAAAAAATTTTACTTGTCCTTTTATCATCTCCAATATCGAACGACGAATTTGATAAGTAATTCCTTTACTTTTTATTTTTACAAAAGAAATCGAAAAAAAAGACGGATAAATAAGGATATATTTTAATTTTTTATACTTTTATTATATACTTTTTTTTTTTGTAAAAAAAGAAAAACGAAAAAACGTACCACCGTAACCGGGGCACCATGAAAAAAGCTATTCAAATTAATTATTTTTTAAAATATTTTATTATTATTCTATGGCTAAAAGAACTAAAAAAATATCAGTATATATATATAAAAGTTAATTGAAAAATATTAAACAATCAACTTAAATAATATAAGATATTCAAATGATATAACGTTAATATATTTTAAAAATAAATAATATTCAATTAAGACTAATCAACAAAACTCATCGTTGTATCAATATTGATAACCTAAATTTAATGATATAGTTACTATATCACTTTAGATTAGATCATAAGATATACTTAGATATACTATAAAACAATGTTTACTTTTGTTTGATTCCCAGACCTCTATCTCTATCTGAAGTTAAAAATTTCTTACCCATTGTAATATCCAGTTACTAGGGGCTATATTAGGATGAGTTTTCTCTCATAAACTTAATTGGAGATATATAGGTCCGCTGTAGGCTTTTGGCTTTGCTATATTTTTTCCAAAAATACAATTTATTTATTTAAATATTTATTTTATAATCTGAGTTAAGAGTTAAGACCCATATAATTTTCAAATTAACTAGGGCATAAAACTAATGGCATACTGTCTAAAACTCTACAAAAAAATAATAGGAAGAATATTCAGAGACATAGCCGAAATAAGGCAGCCTCAGTTTGACCACATGCCTGCAAGATCAAAATTGAGGTAATCCAAGCAATTAGAGAAATAAGTTAAAAATACAGAAGAAAAAGAAAAAGCTCCAAATTGTCCTTCTCGATCTAGAGAAAGCATAGGCGTAGCCGGGGGGAGGGGGGGTCAAGGAAACCCCCCCTTTCAGATTTTTATCACTGTGAATATCATTTTTAGCTAATAAAAAATTAGTCCCCCTCCCCCCCCCCCACTCCTGACGCTTAAAAATATATGCATATATCTTAAACAATAATTTAAAAGAAAGAATGTAAAAGTTGATATTTTTTTATAAAACCATTCATCATAATTTATACATTTTTGGAAAAGTATATAAATATATAAAATGAACCAAAAATGTTTTTTAATAAATGGAATATAAGCCAAAGATAAGTCTTAAGACAAAAGTGAAATGTATTATAATTATTAATAATAGATTCATAAAATTACTAAAATTATCATATGGCAATCAAGTAATTTTTACCAATATAGCGAATTATATATTTTACAGAAAACAATAAAATATTGATAAGGACATCAGAAAATATCTTTTAAAGACATTGTGGGATAAATAATATGAAGATTTAATTTTATTATTAAATTTACTTAAAATAAATAGATGGCGTTAAATAATTGAATGCAAATTTGCTATATTTATTATCAAGAACATTGATTAGTAAAATTTGTTAAATTATTAACTGTAATGTAATATATTCTCTAACTGTCAAATATGTCTGTAAAAGTGCAATTTTACCTAGTATTTTGTAACTAATTCTATATAATAGAGGAATATCAACTATATGTATACTTACTTTTTATAAATAAATTTCTTATAATTGTTTCGAATTAATTAGGTTAATGATGCTTGGTACCTTAAGGTACCATCTATCAAATTAAAATTTTTTACATTTTTAGATAGGCACTACCAAATATATTTATAATTACCAAATATATTTATAATATATATTTGAAAAATCGTGATTTTTGGAAAGCCTTTATGGCCTAGTAGGCAAGAGCTTGGCTTACTTATCCTATGCTCCATGGTTCGAATCTCAGGAATGATCATGTTTTTTTTCTTATTCTAGTGGTTCCATCCTTGGGGGGATGATATATAAAAGGCCGGACTCGACCACGTGATTCCGTATTAATATATTAAATAATAAGGGTCTTATTACATTTTAATAAATTTTGGTCGGCATTTAGCAAATTAGATTGGTATTTAAAATATTTCCATACATTCACTTGGTAGTAAGCATGGTAGGGGTGCCTTTGATCTTAAGACATTTCATCGTATTTTTCGTCCAACTCGTCCAATTCGTTCAAAATGGAGATTAATAGGTTTGAAATGGTAAAAATTAAATTTTTACCATAATCTTACGTTAAATGTTAATAATTCTTTTGGAATGGTAAAATTTAATATATATTATTCAAATATAGAATATTTAGCAGGTTTCAAATGGTAAAAATTTATCTTAGCTCTTACACAATATCAAAAGAAAAACCTAGGATATAATTTTTACAGCAAATTAAGAAGATTAATAGGTTTAAAATAATAAAATTTAATATATATTATTATTCAAATATAGAATATTTAGCAGGTTTCAAATGGTAAAAATTTATCTTAGCTCTTACACAATATCAAAAGAAAAACCTAGGATATAATTTCTACAGCAAATTAAGAAGATTAATAGGTTTAAAATGGTAAAATTTAATATATATTATTATTCAAATATAGAATATTTAGCAGGTTTCAAATGGCAAAAATTTATCTTTTTATCTTAGCTCTTACACAATATCAAAAGAACAACCTAGGATATAATTTCTACAGCAAATTAAGAAGATTAATAGGTTTAAAATGGTAAAATTTAATATATATTATTATTCAAATATAGAATATTTAGCAGGTTTCAAATGGCAAAAATTTATCTTTTTATCTTAGCTCTTACACAATATCAAAAGAAAAACCTAGGATATAATTTCTACAGCAAATTAAGAAGATTAATAGGTTTAAAATGGTAAAATTTAATATATATTATTATTCAAATATAGAATATTTAGCAGGTTTCAAATGGTAAAAATTTATCTTAGCTCTTACACAATATCAAAAGAACAACCTAGGATACAATTTTTACAGCAAATTAAGAAGCTTATTTTATTATTCAAATTTATAATGTATATGACATATGTTAATTATTTCAAATGTATAAATCGAATACAAAAATATAAACAACTAATATTTATTTAGCATGTATAAGACAAATATTTATTATTTATAATGTATAAGACAAATATTTATTATTTATAATGTATAAGACAAATATTTATTATTTAAAATGTATAAAACAAAGAAACATGATTAAAATAAATATAAATAATTCAACATGTATAAAACAAATATAAATTAAATATTATCAAATACATTTGAATTGTATACTAATTTAATATAAGCTGATGATTTATCAGCAAACTCCAATTTATTAATAATATGATTATTATATTGTGTAGTCAGCTTTTCCAAATTTTTTTCTTTTAGGATATATTTGGAATTTGTTTTTTTTAGAGTCATTCCTATGAGGTAATATAATGCCTAATAATTAAATGATTATAAAATTTGATAACTTGTTAAACTTGATATGGCATTAAGAGGTTGCATGTTAGGTGTTACTAGGGGTTGAGATTGAGCAAATATATTAACTAAAAGTAATGAAAATAAAAAGATAATAATTGATGATACTGGTTGAGAGTTTGTAACAAAGAACTGAGACTGAGTAAACATATTGGCTAAAAAAAATTGATTATAAAAATTTTATTTTGTGAAACTTGATATGGTATTAGCAGACTGCATGTTGGGCATTGCTAGAATTTGAGATTGAGTAAGCTGATAGTCTAAAACTATATTGATTTTAAAAATCTAATATTTTATGAAACTTGATAATGAAGGTTGTATAATTTGTTGAGATAATTGGAATTGAGTTATTGGTTGACTATCAGACATAAGTAGAAGGTTATTGACTAAATAATAGGTGTTATAGTGAATTATCTATAAAAAAACTTACCAATAGGGGATTTACATTGTTCTAAGGTATGATCCTGAGTTTCTGTGAACTTACTGATTGAAAAATACCCCGTCCAGAACAACTTCTTCTTCTACATCGGTAATATGATTTGGAATTAATTACTCTATGCAATGTATATTCCAAATCATTAAAACATAGAATATCATGTCCTCTTTTGGATTTTTTATTAGTAATTTTGTTTTCTAAAATTACATTACCAAATTGATTATATCTAGATTGTTAACATTGAATTATATTGGGATTAATTCTTTTCTCAAGAAGAATTTTGATTATATATAAAAATATTTTTAAACTATTACTTTTCCCGCACTTTAATGAACCAATCACAGAATTGGACGAAACTTTACGATGAAGTGTCCATACGATCATAGGCACGGAAATCAAATATATTTGATATTTGTTCCAGGCTTATTTTTTTTTATTAAAACTTGTAAAAATATTTTATGACTATATATAGACTAAGGTAACCCGGCCGGAGGCCAGCCAAAGGGGGTCTGGGGGTGAAGCCCACAATAATTTCTAATTCCCCCCCCCCTAAGGAAAATCCTGGCTACGCCTATGAGAGAAAGCTTTTGATATAGAATACCAAGAAAACATATCTGACGGATAAACCCATTCAAGAATAATAGAAAAAAAAGTGACATCAACCGGCTTCCAAATAGCAGAGTGCAGCGTCTACGTGTGTGGGAGGGGAACAGTTTTCTAACATTGTTAATGGGGGTAGTAACAGTAAATAGGCATTTAAGAGGTGTAAGTTAGAGGCGTGCGGTTTTATTGGGTGAGGAGGCTATCAATTAATTTTTTTGATGAAATAAGGCAAAATATAGTTTTGTGAATTATTTAATACTTTTATAATAGACTTCTAAGCATTGACCAAATCTATATATTGCATACAAATAATAATGCAATTGATTAACCTCTCTTTATAATAAACATTTATTTATTTAATATAAATCCAAATCTGCAATAATATGCCAGTGTATTTCCATTCTCTGTTCATGCCAGACATTATTTGAGATATATATTTTTAATCCCCCCACCCCCACCCTTTTTATATTACAGTTAATTCTTCTTTTTTTAAATATTCTCCTATACTTTTTGATACATTTTTGTAAATAATTTTTATATATTGGTCTACACAATTAAATAAAATTTTAACCTTAAAAAAATATATACCACCATTAAAACAAGATTAGACCAATATATAATTACTTTAAAAATCAGTATACAGTCCCGTTTAATGGAAGCGTAAAATATCTTAAATAAATTATGATACTTTTTTTATTTCTGGAATTCTTTCTATTACATACTTTATTCAAACAAAAAATTGGTCAAAGAACTATATTCACGATTCGTCGATGCAAATAAAAATAATCTGCCAAAGATTCAAATTTACTTCGAAGAAATATTGCATAGTTTGAGTATGGCTTTTACCTTATGAATTTGATCTGTAGAAAATAAAGCAAATTATAGTGTAAATAATTTGAAATTTAATCTTCCATAGTATCAATGTACCTTCGATATGGGATTGGATTCCAGATCCATATATCAAAATATGAAAAATGGATTAACGCGAGGCTAAAGAAATTTTTTCAAAACAAAACATAGCCCAAAGAAAGAAGAAATGAAAGATGAATATTTTAAATTCATATTTAGATATTATTTTTTGAAATTTGTAAGGATATTGGTGGTATTAAATGTGATACTGTTTTAAAATATAAATAAAGAATTTATTCATATACGTAATATAAAAAAATATTTTTTTGATATAATATACTTAAAAAATGTAGCACCCCTCCCCATCGCCAAATCTTTAAGAAATAAACCATTGACGATTAAGTAACCTTTCCAGAGTATATAAAATATTTAGATTTCTGAACCTTCCTGTGATATAGGTAGAAAGAATATTTAAAACTTATGCACAATGAGATGGAGTTCGACATCAAGCGGTTACTGCATTTTTGGAACTAGAAAAGATTATTTAGAATGCCCCTTAAAGAATTAATAGAATGGCCTGAATCATATATTTTATATGAAGAAAATACATTATGATCCGATACGACGTTTTTTACATTGGAATGCATTAATAAATTATTTAGTTGCCACAAGTGACATAAAAGAGGATGTAATTAACAAATTGCTCAGTAAGGAAATCCAACCGATAAGAGAAGAATGAAAAATTTGAATAATAGAAGACATTTAGGAGAAATAAAAGAATTATAAATATCGAATTCGTAACAATTCTACTAATAATGGAATGATGATATTATTGACCTTAATAAAGATGGTGTAAAAAGACAATTTTAATAAATTACATGAATGACCTCACTATTAATTCCAAATATAACTATGAGATATTTTTAAAAAATATAAAAAAAACTTAATAATCTTAAAAGTAGGTAAAATTTAAAGATTAATTTTTAAAAGAGCGAAGAAACCTTAGCTGGATTACATAATTAAAGATTTGTATGCTATGGGTATAGGCGGATCTAAGAATAATTAAATCTTCGAATAAATAATCGCGTTAATTTCTGTTATATTAAAGTAATACTAACATCAATTCGCTTGCCCAGGCTTAAAAAGTAAGGATCTCAAAAATTTAATTTTCATTCCAATAATTACATCCACTAATGGCACTTTTTCGCCTATAAAATTTAATTTTTAAAAGTGTTGGCTGGTAAAATTAGATATTTCACCAAAGAAACGAAGATATTTTTATATTTTAGACAAAAAATACAAATCGAAATTTTTACATATATTTATAGTTCATTTTCGGAAACATAATTGCTAAATCCATATTTAATTATAATTTTTAACTTTAAGGTTTTTAATTTAATTTTTATATGTGTCATTAACAAATATTAATTTTAAATTTATATCGTGTTTAATGTTCAATAAAAATAATGATTCAATTTAAATGTTATTTTTACAAACTATTCATTATATTAAATATTTTAAATACAAATATTCGCGAGCCCTACCCTAATTAAATTTTTATGAATTTACTTTTATTAATTTAAAAAATAAAGAAAATGTATTATATATCTTAATTTATTAGAATATAAAAATACATTTAATTTTCCTACTAAGTTTTTAATACTTTAGGTTGAGCATCCCAAATTAGTCATCTCCATTGGAACTAATTTTTAAACTCCAGTACGGTCCGAAATTATTTTTTTAAAAATTGTCAGGCCCAAACCCCAAACAAATTTTTTGAACATATATCCCGAGAAGCCTGTCCGAAATTAAAATAAAAATTATCTGCCGGATATAAAATAATGTTTTATAGCCTTAGACCTACCTCATTTATATTGTATTTATGTTCAAACCCTGATTTATTTAACGCTATCGTAATCATAGTTGATTTTTCATGGAGTTAATTTTTAAAATATACGTCGCACTATGTTTTTTATATTTTATCATAGCGTTATTCATTCCATATTTATAAATTATACATATTTATTACCTTATTTTGTAAATAACTGCATCAAATAACCCACCGCTTAAACATAATGTATTTACTACAAATGAAACCATATTCATTTGAAAAAAAACTCGCGCCATATTCTTATTAAATATTTCAGAAACTAGGTACCATTTAAAATAGTTTTTTTAATATGAGCCGTAATTGTAAATTAAATAGCTAACTGTCACTTCTCTAAAAAGCCACTCATCAAAAAGTGTATGATAGCCTACTACGAGGTAGTTACGAGATATGAGCGAAAGCAATAGATAAATGGCCATTATTATTCCATATTCTAGACACAATTTTGAATTAAATACCATCGATTATTAATCTGGTCAAAACAAAAGATTTTATCGCATAAATTTTTATAATAACTAAGCTTAATGCCTTTATCAGATCACTGATGATTTTTAAAATAATTAAATTTCCCAAGTATCATGAGTTTATGCTTCATTAAAATATTTGAAAAATAAAAAAAAAATTATGTGAAAGTTAAATGATAAAAATAAATATCTCTGATTTTTAGAACATCTTATTTTTAAATATAACATTGAAATTTGAAAATGATTATTTATTTTATTATCGGGAAATATAGCATAGTTCAATGTTAGAATAAATATGGTTCAAATGCGATATATGAGGGCGCATCCATATTATGTTTTATCTTAATATATTTTTGTTATATATGGCCGAATTAATGATAGATAGAACAACACATTTTCCATTATGGTTTGACGCAGGTTCAAATAATTCAAATTCTTCAGTAAAGGTAATCGATATAAATATACAGAAATTATATTTTTTTTATTAAAAGCCATTCAAAGGTTCGACACCCTCATTAGGTGAAAGTATATAATTGTTTTAATACCTAATAAAAATCTAATTTTTACAGATAACCCGATTTCAATATCCTGGAAACAATTTGAACAGGTACAACAGACTAATCGAGACACATTTCAAAATATGGACATGGAAGATAAACAGTCAAAACCATTAAATTTGGGAAACCACACTATTGTTATCAGAAGGCGGCGTTGTAAGAAAAAAATCATTCTAAAATCCGATACAATATTACAGGATGAGTTGATACCAATAAAAAATAACGATGTATTTTCAAAATTGAATAAGGATCTATTCAGGATGGTACCAATAGCTCAACGGCTGGTTTTGAATTTTAATGATACGAAAACATCGCCTAAGGATAGTAGCATATGGAAAATATTAGACGAACCTATAATTGATACAGAAGTAACTACTTTTAGTCATCTCAATTCGTTAAAAAAATTTCCTGGGATTCTTTTTCTTATAGATCCCTTGGATTGCCAGGAAAATGATGATGAGTTGAAGACCAAGGTAGTGGAAAAAGATGAATATGGCAATCAATTTAATGAAAGTAATTTGGCAAAAATTCCAAAGCCGATTGCTACTATTTTTTCATATTCTTCCGTGACCCCCTTTATCGTACCTTACAAATATGTAGCTTATACTACACATATTTCAAACCCGTCAATCCCCGTAACCATGAACATTTTTTCAACATTAAAAAATTATTTACCGAATTTAGGGGCCAAAAATATTACCAAAAAATGGAGCGCCATGTTATCTTCGCCTTATAAAAACGCTTATCAATATATTTCTAAATTCAACGAAGTATCCACAAATCATTCCCCAACTCTTCGGTCATCTAATTCGATAAATGTTGATGATACCTTTGGGAAGCCCGCAAACTACGAA